CATCACACATGTCCTGCTTAACCACTCTCCATGATTAAATATTTACAATAAGAATTTATTCATCATTAAAACCCTAAATAAAAGGATTACAGAGAAAGTCTGAATGGTTCAGTAAGAAACAGCACTAATTATTTTCACCCTTGTGGGTTTTTCTGTGTTTGATGCTTGAATTTCAAAATGAAAATATTGAGATAAACTGCTTTCATGTGAGCACAGTTCAAGGGATTTCTTATTTGGTGTGAAGCCTAAAAATTGAGAATTAATACTCATTTAATCATTTATGTTCAGTCACAATTTAGGCCCTGAGCAACAAAGTATTTATGCAGGAGAGAAAACTTTAGGCAGTCACGTATGCCAGTGACTCCAGAAAGATTATTCAGATGCCTGAACTGAAAAGTTGCTTATTCAGAGTGAGGGAAGAGCAGAATTCCCATGTTCTGGAAGCTGAGCTGTGGAGCCTGGCTGCAGCAGATGGATGCTGAGAGTTTTCAACCCAGGGTGCAAACACAGAGCTCAGTCCCTGCACAGCCACCAGCACTGGTGGTGATGCCCTGGCTCTCAGGGGTTGTGTGACCTCAGAAAACTCAGGAAATTAATGAGAGCCATTTCTGAGCTGGGGGAAAAGTCACAGAGATGAAAACTCACTGCCAGTCATGGGATGCAGAAATCCTGAGGATGGTTTGAGCACACAGAAGCTGTTTGCTGCACAGCCACAAAGGAAACAAGCAGAAGAGCAGGAAGGAGATTGTCAGATCTCCATCACTACTGCAGCTATCCTTCCAGGTCTGCACAGCTGAAGTACTTTTTTAACATCCATCACATCCCTAGTATAGGGTATGTGTAGGGTATTAGGTGAGCCTTGTGCCATTGTAAGAGTGTCACCCTCAAATGGAAATTTTTCATCTCCTTTCAAATCTCATCTGTTTTGTGGGAGGGAGAAGGGTTAGGGTTAGGATGTAAGGAAAGATGATGAGCCTCATAAACACTGTTGCTTTTTCCTGCACTGTCTATATATTAATATGATCATCATTTTGTCTAAATAAATCTAAACCCATTCAAACTTTATCTAATGCCCCCAGTAACTCTTGAAACAAAGAAAGGCATTTACAACAGCCCAGATTAATGATTAAGGTGTTATCCAAAGTCACCACTCAGAATGTTTCGGAGTGATTTTCTTCAGGCTCAACTACAGCCACAACATAGTAGAGATCAATATCTGTGCCATCTGAGTATTGTCCCATGTGATCTAAAGGACTGACTAAACAGGAAATAATACACAGATAAAAGATAAAATGCCCTGGGCATTCCCTCAAAACAGGTAAAAAGGCTCACCTTGGAAACTATATATGCTTATAAGGAGACCAAATATCTGAATTCTTGTAAGATACACCTAATATTTAGAGAAGATTAAAAAAACATCCACCAAAGGATTCAACTGAAAGTTTTAAAACCCCAGATGGAAACTGAAGAGACCCCTGTCCCCCTAGTGCAGGGTTGGATGTGGCAGCCCCAGCAGTGCCTCCTGCTCAGGAGCCTTCTCTCCCTGGGAAGAGATTCCTGCCCATGGGTCATTGTCAGGAGCAGCCCAGGTGAGGAGGACCAGCCCAGCCCTGAGCAGAGTCCCTGAGGCTGAGCAGCCTGACAGGAAGGACAGCCCTGACTCCAGACCAAGCCACTCTGCCTCTTGGTGCCCTGAGCCCCTGAGGTCTGTGTCTGGCAGGGCTGTGGAGGTAGCCCAGTGCCTGCTCTTCGCAAGGGTGGAGCATGGAGTCGAAATTGAACCTCTTGGTACTTCTAACACACATGCAAAGTTTTAAACACTGTCCCTAAAGTGTTCACAAAGTCAGCCCAGGTAATGTAAGCGCTCTGGTTTATCCCTGTCCCAGTAACAGTGTCAAATGATTCAGTGAAAACCCTTCCATAAAGCCTTCCAGAGGTAGAGGGGTAGATACAGTTGATGGATTCTAGATGTGTACACAAGCTGCTCCGCCAGCCAGGTCCAAAAACTTGCAATAAATAAATTTAATCAGGAAACATCACTCAGATATGAATGTTTAACAACGCTGATTTCTACTGTGAGCTGCCAAAGCTGGGAGCCAGCTTAGCAGTCAAGAGCCCACAGAGCTCAGGGTTTCAAAACAAACAACTCTCCTTGGAGATTAGTGTTGCAAGAGATGTGAGCAGGCAGAAGAAGGAATGTTTTGCCTCCTGCTAAAGCATTAATCCAGCACAGGACTAAACTATTTTATGGCACCTGAAAACATTTCTTTCAAAAGCTGTGTTCAATCAAGCACCGTCGGTCAGACAGAACAGTGCCTCTTGTATGCTCCATAACCTCCTCTAATGACTCGTTTTTATTGTCTTGTTTGCGATTTTTGTCTTACCCAGTAAACCCCAGAGTCTTTGGCCCTGCAGGGAGCAGGGCCAGTGGGTCTCTGTCTGGGCTGCAGCACTGCAGGCAGGGCTGGGGTAGGAGGTGCACTGTGCACAGCAGGTTTGATGGCAGAATAGCAGTTCCTTCTTCAAACCAAGCTCGTCTGGAAGAGCACTGTAAACCCAGACGGTCTGTGGGATTACAGAGAGAGCTGGCTGGAGACCACTGCACTTTGCATGGCATACACAGATCTGGTCTGCAACACTGCAGCCCACAGCAGCAGCTGGGGCTGCAAAGTGCTTGTCCCAGCTGTGTGCTCCCCTCTGACAGAAGGCCAAGTCACCCTGCTGTCAGGATGTCCAGCTTTTTGAAGTGCCAGATGACCAGTCTAAGCTCTGCAGAGTGACAACCCTGCAGCATGCCCAGCACAGCCAAATCAAGCCGTGTGTGTCCCAGCTCTCTGCTGCTCTCCAGCTGTGTTTGCCAGGTGCTGGGCTGTCCTTGGCTCCTCTGCTGGGACCAGACAACCCGGTTATGGGATCTGACATGTACAGTCACACACAGAATGTAGCACATGCAAATGGTACCTGAATACGCCCAGGCTACAAAGGGAAGGACTCGGGAGATGTCAGACTGGGGTGGCCCTGGAGCAGCTCTTGCTGCGCTCCCTAAGGCCACGTGCACTGTGTCACCGTGTGACTTTGAGCAGCGCTGCCGCTGCCGTCACGGGCTGAGCTCAGCACACAGCCCGGGCGGCTGCTCGGCGGAGCGGGGCTGCCTGGTGGAAGGCATTCCCGGAGTAAAACTGCTCCATTCATTGCGGGAGCGGGGAGGAGCCGGTGAGGCAGTTTGCAAGACGATTGGAAAGCAGCTGACAAGTTCGATGAGAAATGAGCTTGTCCCTCCATGAGCTACACCTGGCAAAGGTACCCAGGTGAGTTCTTTTGGCCAGGTTTCATCTACATGTGTATTTTATCTACCTCTTCTGCTCACGCGTGATGACGCTACCCTCGTTACTGTGGAGAGGAATTCTGATAACGCAGGGATGAGTTCATGGCAGAGCTCGGGAGGAAATGACTCCTTGCATCTGCAGAGGAGGATCAGATGAACGTGCAGTGCATGAGGCCCCAGTTACAGGCTGAACAAGGATGAGGCATCGCCCTGACCGCCCAGCACCGGCGGTGGGAAACAGAAGCACCTTTAGAGTCAGCCCCAAGCGCCACAAACCAGCTCCGCCCATCCCACAAGGATTTGGGCTTGCCCCCTTCAGTGGCCATTCCTCAGGGTAGTTTTCGGTTTGTAAATTCCTTAATGTTTGAATGAAAATTCTCATATGAAAATCTGGGGTTTTTTTAACCCATTCCCTCCGTGAGAAGCACTGTTTTTTCTAACCAGTTTATTTTCCCTTTACTTCAATATCTCTTCCCAGCTAAAAACCAGAAGTCAGTCAGAGGTAGACAGAATGGAAATTAGGATGGAAATTTTCCTTGTGGATAACTGAAGTTCAGTTTCGTTTCACAAGCTACTGACAAAGGGGCCGCATACAGGAAAACGTTGCTCAAGTTAACCGTGGGCAGCTGCAGCGCGAGGTGTTTCCCGGGAAGCAGGCACCGGGGCGCTGACCCTTTCCAACGGGCTCCCTCTTTTCCTTGCTTTTATCCAAAAAAGGGCTCGGCTTTTCCCCTCCGTGCAGGCACCCCGCCGGCTGCGGGGCGAGTCACGCCGAGCGCTGAGCCACACGTCCCCGCAGCCGGGAGCGCGGGGGGCTCAGGGGGTTCTGCAGGGATGGGACACAACCGGGGAGCCCGCGAGGGCAGAGAGGGGCCGGGCCCGTCCCGCGGGCACCCGGATCGCACAGCTCCCGCCGGCCCGGGCCGGGCGCTCGGCGCGGCCCCGCGGTGCCGGTGCGGGGTGCCCGGATCGCACAGCTCCCGCCGGCCCGGGCCGGGCGCTGGCGCGGCCCCGCGGTGCCGGTGCGGGGTGCCCGGATCGCACAGCTCCCGCCGGCCCGGGCCGGGCGCTCGGCGCGGTGCCGGTGCGGGGTGCCCGGATCGCAGAGCTCCCGCCGGCCCGGGCCGGGCCGGGCGCTCGGCGCGGTGCCGGTGCGGGGTGCCCGGGGAAGCCCCGCCGGAGGCGGCGGGCCCGCACGTGCGCGGGGCGCGGCGGGCGCGGCCCCTTTAAGGCGCGCGGCGGCGCGGGGCGCCCATGTGGAGGGCAGCACGCGTGTTGTGCTGCGCGCCCATTGGCTCGCGCGCGCTGACAGCGCGCCCCGGGCCGCGAGCGCACTGCGGGGGGAGCGCCGCCCGCAAAACGCGGAGCCGGGATCGCGCCGCCGCCGGACCGGACCGGCCGCCGCCGCGCCTCCTGCCCCGCGCCCTCCCCGGGGCCGGCCCGGGTCGCGCCCGCCCCGCGCGACCGGCGGGGCTGCGGGGCCGCGCCCCCGCGTCCCCGGCCCGGGCCGGCCGCCGCGTCCCGGCGCGCCCCGTCCCGTCCGGGCGGCGCCCCGAGCTCCACTCCGCGTCTTCGCGCCGCCCGCCGCGTAGTAGCGGGGCCGCGCCAGCGCCCGCCTGTTGTGTTTCTGTTGCCACCCGCCATCTTGTCGCCAGCGCTGCGGCCGGCGGGGCGAGCCCGGGGCGGCGCGGGCGGGGCGGGCCCGGGCGGCGGCGGCGGCGGCGGCGGCCGGGCCCGCGCCATGAGCATCGAGACGCTGCTGGAGGCGGCGCGGTTCCTGGAGTGGCAGGCGCAGCAGCAGCAGACCGCACGTGGTGAGTGACCGTCCGCCCGCGCCTCGCGGGACCGCGCCTGACAGCGCCGGCCGGCCGGGGCTGCGCGGGCACCGGCACTGGGGAGGGGTGGAGGGGGGCACCGGCGCGAGCTTTGCGCTGCCGGGGGGATCCGACCCGGGGGAACGCGGGACGGGCGGGGCAGTGTCAGGACACGGGGGCAGCTCGGGGCCAGCGCGGCGGGGGCTCCGAGCGGGCGGGGCCGCCCCGGGCCGGGCCCCGCTCCCGCCGGGGGCGCCGCCGCCCCCGCCCCGCGCGCTGCGTGTCCCCGGCCGGCGGCGGGGCGGGGCCTGGCGCGTCACTCGCTCGGCCCCGCCCGCCACCACGTGCGCGCGGCCCCGCCCCGCGCGGCCCTGGCGGGGCTGCGGGGCCCGCCCGGGGCGCCGGGAGCGGCCGCGGCACCGGGGAGCCCCGAGGAGCCCCGGGGAGCCCCGAGCAGCCGGGGTACCGGGGCAGCCCCGAGGGGCCGCCCGAGCCCCGCGCCGCCCCGCCGCTGCGTCCCCCGGCTCTCCGGGAGCGGCCGTCCGTGCCCCGGGGCCGCGCGGCAGCGGCGGGGCTGCCGCCCGCGCGTGGCCGCAGGACAGCGGCGCCGGCCCCGCTCCCGGGGCGGCCCCGGCGCGGGGCTCGGGCGGAGCTGCGGGAGCCGCGCTTTGCGCCGCCGCCCATTGTGTCGGTGATGAGTCACGCAGCAGACGGGGGATGCGGGGCCGCGCACGGCCGGGAGGATTCCCGAGCGCGGAGCACACCCCAGCATTGGGAGGTGGCAGGGGCTGCCCGCCCGCGCTCCCCGCCCGCTGGGTGACAGCTCCGGTGCTGCTTCCCAGCCCTTGACAGTCTCCCTGCCACCGCCAGCCCTGTGCGACAGCGGCTCCGGGCTTATTGTGGTGGCTGTGCTCGGGTGCAGCAGTCAAACACCTGGCTCGACCTCTGCAGGCTGCTGGGTTTGTCTGCTGCTGCTGGGAGACAACTTCCACTGCCATCCCACTGCGGGAGCATCTCGTGAGTGGGTCCGACCAGCTGTGCTCTGGCGTACAGAGGAGCAGGAGGAACCCGGCTTCTTGTGCTGGACAGCTTCTGAAGCAGGAATTACTGCTGAGCAGGATATATGGGCAGGGTAACACAGCAAAGAAAAAGACACCCCGCAGGTTCCTCAGCTCCAGGAGCAGCTCACAGGGATGTGTGGGGATGTAGTGTTACACAAAGCCTGCTGCAGGCTGGAGCTGCCACCACGAGCGTGCCCCGGGCTCTGGGTGCTGCTGGGAGGCACAGCCGCCTGTCTGCTGCACAGGCACGTAAGGGCTGGGCTGGTTGCAGGACCAGCAGCGTCACTGCAAACGTGGCCACTTCAGGGAAGTCTCAACACCAGGAAGACTGGCACAGGAAGGAGGAGCCCTGCAGTGACCTTTGGGTGGCAGGAAGATATCAGGGGAGAGCATAAGCTGAGGAACAGCTGGGAAGCGCTGGGAAGTAATAAGTAAGAGCACTTAAGACTGGGTTGGCTTTTTTGTCTTGTGTTCTTCCTCCCCTCCCACTTGAAATCTTGTGTTCTGCAAAGTGTTATGGTCTGTGTTACACCCCCAGTTACACTGTGGAACTCCAGGGCTCCAGTATGGCCTGAAAATCAATCCATTTTGGGAACAGCATTAAAATATATATACTGAACTCATCTAAGGGCCGCTGGGTCGGCAGCTGACAGCAGTGCCTGCTGCTGCTGTAACCCTCTTGCTGTAAGTATGTGCCTCCCAGGCACATAACACTCCTAACACTCTTACATGGGCACAGACTCACAGCCTGAGGTCCTTTCTCTCTCTGTTGTGTGCAAGCTCCAGAGACATTTGACTTGAATTAGAGGGTGCTGATTTCTTTGAATTTAGATTAATCCAGGATTGTTTCATGATCTAAGAAAAACAAATTTCTTTATATCTGCCAATAACTGATACTTGTTTTCTTAGTGTTTTTCCCACCGATATTTGTCTGTGACTGTCCAGCTTGTGTTTGCTGCTCTCTCGATGCTGTACAGTTCATTCACACCATTCCTTTCCTGAGTGGTGCCAGCGCAGGCAGTGACCCCACAACAAAAACAGTTCTGGGCTTTTCCATCTCACCTCCTTGCTATTTGGGCACGCTTAATTGCCTAGAAGTGATAACGCTGTGTGGTGGCCAGAAAGGTTTCCTTTGGCTGTGGTGCCACCTTCCTGGTGCCAGTGGTGAGGAGGAGAAGCTGCTCACACCCAGCATCTATGGTCGGGCAGTGGCTCAGTGCTGTGCCCTGTGAGGTCTCTTAGTGCTGTCTTTCAACTGATCTCGTCAGTATAATGTTGACTTGCATCTCTAGAAACCTTGTGGGGCTTTTTGGCCACCACTGGCTTCTGTCTCACCAGGGTGCTGTGTGGCCTCAGCTTTGGTCTTGCTGGCTGCCGCAGGCAGCACACCCACCTAGGTTTCTTTCAAGGGAGGTTAAAGCACGTCCCAACACACAGTGTGAGTTTATCTGTTTCCAGAGGCTTCCAGGAGAGCTGCCCTGCAGTTCTGAGGACAACAGTGCCATACTGACATGCTTATTCTGACAATTAGACTTTGAGTTTAGGAAGAGCCTTGCTCTGTGACACAGCCATGTCTGAATTTTGGGGGTGGCAAGGATAATTGTCATGGGGTTGCAGGGATAACTGCCTTGGTGCAGCTCATTCAGGTGATGGTGGTGGCTTCCTGTTTTGATGGGCAGATACCCTTGATTCTTCTTTCTTTTTCAAGTATGAAGATAGGGTTCTAAAGGGTAATCTGCAGATTTTCATTCATTTCCTTGAGAAGAAAGCTGGCTAGAGTGAGCAGCCTGTGGAAGCAACCCCTAGTGCAGCCCTGGGATGAAGGTGCAGCAGTGAGCCCTTGTTCTCATCACAGATCGAGGAATGTTACCTGGAGCAAACATGCTTACCTAACAGGCTGGCTGTTATCTGCCAGATCCAGTTTTGCCATGACTCACTGAGCTCATTTCACCCTTCTGTGCTCCCTTGCTGGCTGTGTAACACACAAGAAGCATGTTTGCTGGCTGTGTAACACATGCACACCGTGCTGGCTGTGTAACACGTGAGCTGTAGACTTGAGACAGCCTGCAGAGCACTTGCCAGCAGTGGATGAAGCGGGCTCTCACAATTTCTTCTGAGGGCACATCTGTGGGCTTTTTGGTCTGTTTTAAGGATACATAGTCTGTTTATAATACTGTTTATTAAGTCAATTCATGTTTGCTGTTCTTTTCCAACCTGTACATTTAAGGCATGTCACTGTTCTTGCAGTGTGTGCCTCTGTCCCTTGGCCAGAAGCCTGACAGCGGTGTCCTCATGTGCGTGGGAGCAGATGGGTTAGGTCCTGCCTGCCAGCAGCACCACTTCTTGCTCTGAACTGTGACACAGAAGCTGTTCAGCTGACAGAAATACATGCTTTTTATCAGAGCGCATTACTTTGTCTCCCTGTCTCTTAAAAACGCTGATGCCCAGTGGAAAAGCACAGGCCCATCTTGTGCAGGACAGCTCACCTGCTTGGTTGCCCAGGTGCGGCTCCTTGGATGGTGGAGCAGAGTCAGCGTGTGCTGTTGGTGACCACTTGGCCTGTCAGAGCCCATGCTTTCCTGCACTTTATCCCAAATACCATGGAAAGGTACAGCAGGAGTTGTGCATCCCTCCAGCCCACCAAGGCGCGATGCTGCAGCTGTGACAGTGGCACACTTGGCATCCTGGTGACATGGTGGTCCTGGGACTCTGTAGAGATGAGGCTCTCCATGGCAATTTTGGTTTTTTTAGCAAAAAAAAGAGGAGAGGACGTGGGACGGTTTGGTGTCAGGCTGCAGTCTGAACACAGCACTGGGAGCCCTAGTGGCAGGTGGCCCTGCAGAAGTGTCACCGGGTGCCTGGCAGCCAGCTCGGTACTGAGGGCACGGCCAGGGGCCTGGAGGGCTTTGGGAAGCAGTGCTGTGTCTTGGGACTGCCCCGGTACTGGTGAAGAAACAACAGTGCCAAGGGCTGGGCACCAAACTGGAAAGTTTTATCTAAGATGGGAGAGAAAAGTGGGGTTTGTGCTGTTACCAACCACAATTCAGAAGGAGTCAGAAAAGTGTCCTGATTTTAAAGGGTTCTCAGTCCTGCAAGCTTGTTCCTGGGCCTGGAAGTGCCCGTGGCTGTGTGCTGCAGCCTCTGATGTCAGCAGCATTTTGCTGTGACTCAGAGCTTGCTTGGCTGATGCTGAGCTTTGCTGGGATCCAGTTCTGCTGACTGTTCTTATCTCCCTCTTCCTGGTTCTCCCCTGCAGAGGCAGGGAGCTGCAGAAACAGAAACCAACCTCCAGGCTCCAGCCTGCCCTTCCTCTTGGCATGACTTGTCCCCCCGCCAGGGCAGCCTTTGGAGTAGTAAATACCTGGAGACTCTTCTGTACCCAGCGCTTTCCTGGTAGGAGCCTGCAGTGACTCCTGCGGCTGTCACTGCTGCATATCCAGAGTGAGTGACGCCCAAGGCACTCCTCTCCAGGGCTGTAGCAGTTCCAAGTATTCAGGATAAGTTCCCAGAAGCATTGAATGATTCAGGAAAACACTTCAGACCATTCAGAAAACAACACCACAGAACTGCCTCACTGTTTCTGGAAGGAGAGATGTTCTCCACTGGGCGCACACAGAAGTGGGATGGTTGGCTATGCAAAGGCACACACCCTTGATAAACTCTCTGTACTGATATTGTCCTCAGTGAAAGGTAGGGGCATGCAAAGGGCGCTGACATCCCCTAGGGCCTGCTCCTCCAGCATGGTTCCAGGAGCCTCGGGCCATGCCCTGGCTGCTGCAGGCCCACGCTGCTGGCCCGAGGGCACGTGTGGCTCTGCCCTCTGCTCCCTGGCTGGTGCTGTGCCGTGCCTGTGACAGACTGGTGGCATTTCCAGGGCAGGCAAAAGGGACAAGATATATTTAAATGCAGCAGGTTATTAGGTAACAAAGAGTGCCTGTGCTGTGTGCTCAGACCATCAAGGCCCTAAATAGCACCCGGCCACTGGTCAGGGGTACTGACCCTGTTTCTGTGTCCTCTCAGGGCAGGATTTGCTGTTCTGTCCCGTGGCTGCCGATGCTGCTGTCACTGCCTGGGTGGCGTGGCCAGGGACCTGAGGTGCCTGCTCTCACCACGTGAACCTGCTGGCAAGCAGAGTGCTGTGGGCAGGGTGGGATTCCAGGACCCCTCATGCTTGGGCTGTGGTTCAGGTCCCCTGGGGGTTCTCAGCACTAGTTACCTCCCATGGTTTGTTCTGTCCTCAGTCCCCTTGTTAAGAGTGCAAAGAAGAAGTGAAAATTACACATAATTTGGAGGTGCACCTTTGGATTCAGCTATCCTCTAACCCAAGGGGTTGCCCTGAGCCCTGGCTGCTTTCTGTGTATGGGCTTGCAGGAGATCCTGTGGCGAGTGTGCCACAAGGGAGGGAACGAGCCTTGCATTGCTGTGTCAGGGCACACAGCATGGTGATCACCCCTCCTTGATCTGTATCTGTGCCCAAACGTGGGTGAGCTTCCTTCATATGAGAAAACACAGAGCTTTTCTAAGGCTGTCTTTGGTTTGTGTGCAGGGCATGAGGGCAAAGCGAGCAGGAGACAGACCTTCGCCACCCAGTGGGAGGGTTTCTGTCCAAAGAGGTGGCTCAGGGCCCTCCAGTGCTTTTGCCCGGGTTGGGAGCGTGGGTCCTTTCTGCCTGTGGGTAAGTCAGACCCAAGAGGATAGTGGCTCTTCAGTGTTGGATTTTGGCTAAAAAAATCCTTGAAATAAACTCTTTAGCTCAAGGGAGCAACACCAAAGGCCTTGCTGGCAGGTTGTCAGCAGCCCAAGGGCTGCACCTGCTTCCAGAGACATTTACATAAATACTTGTGATCAGTAATGCCTGCTTTAACCTTGCTTCCCTGTTCTCTCCCTTCCCCGGTGAGTGTTGCTGGCTGTAGGAGTTCCACGCTGCCCTCGGTGCAGCTCTCAGGTGTCCTGGCTGGATGCTCTGCTCCACTCCAGCAGCCTGGGCAGGTCCTGCTGTCCTCCCCACACCCCGGCACTGCCACGGCTTCCCATCAATGGCTCCTTTGCTGCTCCCTGCTCCCAGTGTCGGTGCAGCTGGAAGTCTGGGTGGAAGCTGTGTGGGCTTTGGTCTGCTGTGTCCTGCGAAGGCGGTGCAGGTCAGCCTCTGGCTCAGGGAGCTCCGTGAGTCAGCAGGTCCTCGGGGCTGGGCTTCCTCATGCACCCTGTGCCAGGGCCATTGCATCGGCTCTGGCTGCAGACCAGCAGCAAAGTGGAGCAAGAGATCTGCAGACAAAGGGCTTTTCTGTATTAGTTATTGATGTCGTTGAACTGAACCACTCCAAAATTGTTGGTAGCTAAGATTGTGTTTGCACCCTGCACTGCTTCACTTCTTCCTTTAAGGAACTGTTGAAAATACCCTGAAATATTTTGAGAAAACACAGAGAAATGTAGCTTTAAGGCTCAGGTGCTGCTTAAGCAACCTCCCTCCTATTTTGGAGTCAGTCAGATCTTTTGCTCACTCACCCTACTTGTGCTGCAGAAGTTGAATGGAAACTTTGGATTTGAGTCTCGGGCAGCCCTGGGAAGAGGGCTGTATGGATGTGAAACCCTTCCTGATGACAGAATTTCATGTGGTGCTTTTGTGAGTGCTGCAGGGTCAGGGACTGGGGCTGCAACCCCAGTGCTGGAGCTCAGTGCAGAGGGTGGTTTCTCCAGGTGTGCGCTCAGGACAGTGTTTGCTTTGGCAGCTGGCTGCTTGACCTGGCTCCTGCTCTCCTTAGGGAGGTTGGGCTGTGTTTGGGCTGCTGCTGCAGCTGAGCTTAGGAAATTGTGCCGCCTGGATCTGGGTCAGTGTTGCTGTGCGGTCACAGGTACCAAAGGGCATTCAGAATCGGGAGTAAGAGTTTTGTTGCCCTCTGTAGTTTTTGCACTATACCCCTCAAGATCAAAAGATGGGTTAGAAAGTATCCCAGTAGTGGCAAGGCGGTTTGGAGATGGCAAGGGCTGGGCAGCTCTGTGCCTAGTAGGGCACTATTCCACTTCTTCTGCTTGTTCTGTTCAATACAGATTGTCTTGAAGATCACTGGGGGACTGAACATAACCTGGTAATTCCAGGTGGCAGCATACGTGCTCTTCTCCCTAATTTCCTAAATACATATTCTGACTTCAGTGTTTCAGTCAAGCCTTCCCCCGGGAGAGGCTCTGTCAGGATGTTTCTTAGAGCTTCCTCTGAATTACCTGATATTGGTGACTGTGAGACAGAACACCCAGCTGTCCTTCCAAAGTCCTTCCCCTAATCCCTCCCTTGATAAATTAAGGTTTTATTTTCCAAATATTTGTATATTACTATGAGGAGGTTGCTGCACCACCTTTCATTGCAGCTCCTCAGAGGCTGTCCAGGAGAGGGATCTGCTGAGCCTCACGTATGGTGGGTTTGGAGATATTTGATTAAGACTGCGCAACGTCTAGATGCCAGGGCCACTGGCGCCACAGGACTTGTATAAATAAATTTTGTTTGTGCCATGTTCACGCAATTAAAGCCAGAGCCCTGGATTGCGTTTGATGAGGTTTATTTTGCTAGTCGGGCCACACAGATTTCATTTACTTTGTCTGGTGTTCTGAAAACATACAGGAATATACACACATCAAAGCCAAGTTTAAGAGTTTGATTAAAATCCACGGCAGTAAAGAGGTGCCCTAATGTGTTTGTATCAGTGCAGTGTCCACTGAGCTGGGATTCACTGAGAATAGTATAAAACCCAGCGTGTTTTGACTTCGGGATCCTGCCTCTTGCTGGTTGCAGGCTGCTCTCAGGGGAGCGCCATTGCTCACTGCGTGTGTTTCTCTTTCAGAGGAGAATGAGAAGCATGAGAAGCTCTGCCTGGAGAGGGAGCAGGAGCAGAAGAAGGCGGGCAAGGCCAGCGTGCCACGGGCCAACAGCACCCTATGCGCAGAGGAGCCCCGGAGCGAACTGCTGGTGCCCATCTCCCCGCCGGGCCCAGTGCCGCTGCCGCCCCCGCCCCTGGCAGCTCCCATTTCAGTCATTCCCATCCCCGTTGTCACCAGTTCCCCCCAGCAGGCAGCCCAGGCCGCCCTGTCGCCGCCGCTGGTGCAACGCCACCAGCCCCTGGTAAGCGCTGCCGGTGTCCCCAAGGAAGCGCCGTCGCTGGCGCCGGTGATCCAGCGGCCGGACGGGAAAGCCGCGACGCCGCCGTCGGGCAGCCCCAAGCAGCTCCCGCACTACGCGGCGCCCGTGCTGGCCATCTCCCAGCACCATGTGGTCCCGCAGCCCATCCAGCCCCTGCAGCACCCGCCCGCGCCCGCGCCGCTCGGCGCTCTGAAGCTGGCACCGGCAGATGACATGAAACCCATCGAGCTCAAGAAGAGAATTGGAGGGTGAGTGCACTGCCTGTGGGGACATGTCCGGGAGGGACAAGCTAAGCTGCATCTCTCTGGAGCGGCTCCTGCTTGTGCAAAGTGTTGTTGGGTTAGAAATGCCAAGACCCGTGGATGTTTAATGTCTTTGAATTACTGAGAACAGGGTTTTTTAGCATGACGAGTTTTTATTATCCTCCCTCACTCCACACTAAGTTTTTGTATAAGGAGTTTTTTTTTGCAGGCCAGAACTGTGTTAGGAAGCAAGTCCAGCCCTTCATGTCTAATCTCAAGTGGTATCTCGTGTTATGTTTGGCAAAAGATCACTGCTTGTACTGGTCAGGGAAATAAAAGTGCACTGCTGCTTGTGGGAGCTTTCTTGAAAACTGGAATGGGATCTGGGAGATGTTATTCTGAGGACAGTGATCACCAGTTTCTCAGTGCTGTAAGTGCTAAAGGCCTCCTGCTTGCTCAGAAGCTGGAAGGTGCTGAAGGCTATTTAGTCTGCCCTCACCCTCTGAAAGGACTTGTGGCTCTGATGTTGCTCCAGGTTAGTGTTTTTCTGGCTTGTTCTTAAGGACTTTGGCTGGTGGAGACCCTGCCTTCTCTGTAGGTGGTTGTTTCCAGACCACAGTATCCCAGTAGGGAGTCTGGTATTACTGCTTGTGGACTGGGAGAGCAAACCATTCCCTTCTTTGCAGCAGTTTTACCTGTTTCCTTTGGCCCCTCAATTTTCCTGCAGCATAAGTGACCTGGATCTGTTCGGTCTTCTCTCCTGGAGGTGCTGTCTGGGCCTCTGACTGTTCTCCTGACTGCCTGCAGCAAGGACATGTCTCTTGGCAGTGGTGTTGGAGATGGTCTGTGAATCCCATGGGGACTGGTGGAGATGTATAGTGGACAGAATAAAGGTTCACTGGGATGTATAGATCCCAAAACACATAGAAACAGTGCAAGTAATGCAGATAGGAGTTTGTGAAGATAAAGGCTTCAGTACAGTGCCAGTGTAATTCATCTGAGAAGATTGAGATCCTCAGAGCCTGTCTGCTGCTGGAAGGGTCTGTCGGTCTGTGCACTAATAAGAGAGCTGTCACTGATGTTGTGTGGGTTCAGGGGGCTGTGGAGGAGGTTTCTGCTGGCATGGGGGGACCAGGACAGGCTGCACAAGTTTGGCTGCCTGGGCTGTGGGTAGTGGGGTGGCTGCAAGTGCACCCACAGACTGAGGCTGTGCTGTCAGACAGCTTTGCCCTGGGAGGTGCGGGGGCTGTGGTGCCAGTGTGGAGCACAGCATCGCCATTGCATCCCCCCAGAATTGCTCCAGAATTGCTCCATAAGAAAAGATGTCTTTTTCAGCCTATGAATGTTTCATAGGAAAATGCTGTCAAATATCTGTGACAATTTATTAAATATTATTACCTCATTGTCCTGTATTTTCAGTCAAAGGCAAATTGCTTTGCACAGTGTATGAAAGATACTTGAAATCTCCAGATCTGCTAATGTACCTTATTGCTGAAAAACTAAGCTGAAAAACTGAGATAACATGTATTTGTTTGGCTTTTCCTAAAAATACTCCTCTGATTCAGAGAGTGGGTGGATTCAAACCCCAAAACCAGAAACTCACACTGGTTTTTCCTTGAGCACTGACTAGAGAATTCCTGTATTGCTTCATTTCGTGTTTATCCTCAGCTGTGTTCTTTCATGCACAGTAAAAACCCAAAGCAGTTGGAAGTGTCTGCCCAATCCCATACGCTTGAATTTGAAACTGTACAACCTTGTCCCACTGGAGTGTAGGCATAGATCAGAACCAGGTCAGAATCTGGGTTCTCTGGTTCTATACAAATACTTAAAATTCATACTTTGTCTTTCCCTGTTGTTGGTAGTAGCTGTTTCTGTATATATACACACACATCACACCTGTTTGTATCTTCTGTGCATTATGTGCACAATGCTTAGTTCCTCTGATGCACATGTAAAGTATGGAGTTTATCTTGAAACAGTATAGGCAGAAATATGTATGTACTTAATGTTAAACCAGTGATATATGAACACTTCTGTTCCTTTTGCATCTTGACAGAGAGACACTGCTGCAAGCACAGGTGCAAGGCAGGAGTTTTTAACCTGACACTGAGCTGATCTTTGTTCTGTTTGGGTTACAGGGTTGGGACCAGGGAAGTACATAATAAATTGGAGAAGAACAGGTGCGTAGAAAGGCAGGGGTTGGGTTTTTTAATTGTAATTCCCCTCCTTTTTTTGGCTTATTGTCTGTCAATATTTGTTTGGCTTTGGTGGGTTTTTGTTTGTTTGCTTGTTTGTTTTTTAAACTGATAACCTGAATAAAATTCCTAGTGACTTTTACTGAATCTTGCACTATTGCTTGGCTTTCTTATAGCTCAATTCTGCATTTCTTGCTTCCCAATATGTTTTGTTTAACTGCACCATTGCATCCCAAGCACCCTGATCCTGCAAAGCAGTAACAGTGCATAACAGTGACTCTCTTTTGATTTAGAAGAGTAAAATACCCCAAATGAGGGGTCAGTGGACAGTGTGAATACAGAATAAACATCCGTTTCTGGCCCAAGACTCTTAAAAGCCTGACTAGCTAAATTGGGAGTATGGTGGCAGTGAAAGCACCAGCACAGTGAGATGAGATATTTTATTTAAGGCTGCACGGCGTTCTAACAAAGCTGGGATAGAACCCAGGCACAGTCCCTGCTGGGGTGAGCAGGCTTGTGCTGTGCTGGGGGGGCTGCTGTGCACAGGTGTAGGTGCTTTGCTGGATTAGGGGCCAAATTAAGTTCTCCCCTCTGGTGGAATTGGTTCCTGGTGTATCTCCTGGCAGCTGACGACCCACCTGTGTTTTCTTTAGACGTGCACATTTGAAAGAGTGCTTTGAGACATTAAAGCGCAACATCCCCAACGTGGATGACAAGAAGACCTCAAACCTCAGCGTCCTCAGGAGTGCCTTGCGATACATCCAGGTACGTGCAGCGCCCGCGGGGCCGGGGTGAGCAGTGCCCAGGGCTGGCTGTGGGCTGCAGGGAAAAACGGGAGAGAAGCTCCCCTTGGAGAAGTTCCAAGTTAACCGCAAGTCATCCTTACCAGAAGTGGTGGTGGCAGGGAGCAGATAATTCCGATGATCTTGGAGATCTAGGCTGAGTGAACTTCTGTTGTTTCCTTTTGGGCTCAGGTGAATTTTAATATGTATGGTTTGGGGAGGTTTTCTGTTTGCTTAACTAAAAGACAGATTTCTGAAAAGACTTGGTATATCTCAAAATTTTGATGAGATGGACATGTGAGTACAAGTCATTTGCTTGGAGGCAAGGAAAGCCTAGAATCTGAGGTTGCAGCATGAAGCTGTAGGTGGATGGGGGCACCACCAGGAGTGAATCTGGGAGAAAGCAAAGGTAAAAATCAGTTGTGTTTGTAGGTGGAGGGAAATAAATGTTAGTGTTGGCTTGTTTAATGTTTGTGAAAGTGGTTAATGGTAGCACAGAAGAAGTTGTTGTAGATGTCCCCTGTGAATGTGAAATCAGTAGCCTGTAATGCAATTAAAATTCATCTGGAAACTGGTAGAGTTGCTGCATTTATAGTGCAAATAGAGATCCAGTACACCTTGTACATTTTGACTGGAATAAAAGGTGCTGAGGATTGATCACAATGGTCTTTTCCACAGTGAAACGTAATCTTTTCTCACTTTGTTTCTATTTTTCCTCAGACACTCTCAAACACCATTTCCCTCTGGTGTTCAGAATTGGTTATTCATTTCAGCTTTGCTTTGGAGAGTCAGTAATGCCTCAGAATTAGATCAGTTCAGCCCTCCTCTTAGTTTTCACCAACAACTTCCCTCAGAGGGACTTTGGCTGCGGCAAATTTCTACTGTACCCAGCCACTCTCTGTGTTATTCAAAAAAGTGGTTTTATTGAGGCCTAGTGAGCTTTAGAGACGATCTGAGCTTTTCTTTGAATTTTGGCAGGCCGATGTAGTTTGCAGGAGGAACCTCTCTGATGGCCAGTCTGGGCTGCGCGGTGCTGGGCTGGGACTGGCCGGCTGTCCGTGGGTCGGTGTGCAGTCTGTCTGTGGCTGTCTGTCGGTCAGTGTGCAGTCTGTCCGTCGGTCAGTGTGCAGTCTGTCCGTGGCTGTCTGTCCGTCGGTCAGTGTGCAGTCTGTCCGTCGGTCAGTGTGCAGTCTGTCCGTGGCTGTCTGTCCGTCGGTCAGTGTGCAGTCTGTCCGTCGGTCGGTGTGCGGTCTGTCCGTCGGTCGGTGTGCGGTCTGTCCGTGGGTCGGTGTGCAGTCTGTCCCTGGCTGTCCGTGGGTCGGCGTGCAGTCTGTCCGTAGGTCAGCGTGCAGTCTGTCCGTGGCTGTCTGTGGGTCGGTGTGCAGTCTGTCCGTGAGTCAGTGTGCAGTTTGTCTGTAGCTGTCGGTCAGTGTGCAGTCTGTCCGTCGGTCAGTGTGCAGTCTGTCCGTCGGTCAGTGTGCAGTCTGTCTGTCGGTCAGTGTGCGGTCTGTCCGTGGCTGTCTGTCGGTCGGTGTGCAGTCTGTCCGTGGGTCGGTGTGCAGTCTGTCCGTGGCCGTCAGTCAGTGTGCGGTCTGTCTGTCGGTCGGTGTGCAGTCTGTCCGTAGCTGTCTGTCAGCCGGGTGCTCCCGCAGCGGGTGCTGGCCTGGCGTGGCAGAGAAGGTCAGGGTGCCCTGGGGCCGTGCCAGCGTCTGCCCGCACGTGTGTGGGGAGCACATGGCGGGCACAAGGCCTCGCTGGCGTGGCGCGGTCGGCTGGCACTGACCCGGCACCGGCAGGGCTGGCTCGCTGCCCCACGGGCAGGGACACGGCTCGGCCTGTGACGTTGTGTAACCTCCTCACTGCACTGCCTTCTCCTCCTCATCCTCTCTGGCAGCTGCTCAGGGAGCATCCCCAGCACAGTTTGCCTTGGCAGCACCAGAGCCGTGGGCCTGTGATTCAGTCACAGTGGTTGTGCTAAAAAATCAGATTACTAGAAATCTCATTTGAAGTTTCAATATTCAGAAATAAAATTCATATTTTAAATTTTTTTTACTGCAGTTTGAATTTAGGTTTGATCTGTTTAACAAAAGTAACGCCTGTCAGTGTGGGGATGGCCACCGATCATGTGCCAGGTTCTGTGTGTTTCACCCAAAGGCTCAGTGTTTCCCTTGAAAAGAGAACAGGGCAATTGTACAAAAGAGATTTAAAAGTAAAAGCTCTTACTCTCAGGATAGCAAAGTAGTTTTTCACTTAAGGAAAAAAAATGAAGCTCAAGAAGCTCAAACCCAAATGAACCTCGCAGGGGAGGAGCGCAGCACCAGCCAAAGCTCTGCTCCTGCAGGCACTGTGACAGTGCACTGATTGTTGCAGCCTCTCTTCCTACAAAATCCTTCCTTCCCCCCTTCCCAGCTGGAACTTCTTAGAAACAGGCTGTTTGTTTCCTTGGCTGGATTTAAGTATTTGTATCTGCATCAAATCAGATAAGTTAGAAAGTTAAATTCTGAACTTCCCATGGAGCCATCATTTTAATTTATCCTTGGACCTGGGCTTGTGCTCTGCAACAGTAAATTAGAATTTGCAATTAAGCAGACTGTTGCACAAAGGAAATGGGGCCCAACGCAGCTGGAAGTTAATAATCCCTTTAGCTGGTGATTCAGCCTGAGGCAGTGTGGGCTGTTGTGCTGGCTCTGGGCTGAGGAGGGTGTCCCGGTGGGTCCAGCAGCACAGGGGCCCCAGACCCCGGCACACAGCTGTTCCATGGGCCACCTCGGCTCTTGTTCTTCACTTCGCTGCCTGCACAACCTGAGTGAAAATGCCAGAGACCTCTGGGGGGTTTGTAAGATGCATGGAGCAATGTGAAAAAAACACATAAAGTGAAATTAAAATCCTTGAGAGAGCAGAGCCCTGTTGCTCCTGAGCAGTGTCCCCAGCAGGGACAGGTCTGTCCTCCCCAGAGCCCCTCTGGCTCTGCCCAGCCCAGCCTGGCACGTGTCAGCCATGGCTCACAGCCCGTGCAGCTGGGCTAGCTCTGGTTCTCTCAGAAGGATTCCTTCCCCTAGGAAATGGAATCATCTTCTTTGGAAGCGAACTGCTGCTCTGTGTTCTCAAACTGTGCCTGTCACTGTGGCACCTGAACACCCTCCAGTTTCGGGGGTTATTCTCTATTGCACATTCCATGTCAGATGACATCCAGGTGATTTGCTCACCAGGTGACACCAGGACAGCTGGCACACAGCCCAGCCCAACCCATCTGTCTTTGGTTGTGCTGCAGGTCCTGCTTGCTGGCCAGTTTGCCCAGTACAGTTGAAATGCTGACTAAATAACAACGTGCTTTCAAAATCTGAGATGCAACTGAGCTTCCCAGGGCATGCAAAATGCAAAGAGCAAAAGTTTTTGGAAGGTGGGGAAGCAAGGCTGATCTTGTGGGCATGTGAACAGACCAGATACTGGTTTTACATTCACAGCATCTCTTTGTCTTCTAGTTTGTTATATTTACCAGTCGCTTCACTGGTGCTTGAGCACAATCATTCATCCCTGTCTGTGTAGAGGACCAGAACAAGACCGGTGGATTTTTGGGTCCCATAGCAGTGCTTGATTTGGGTGTTGATGGGCGCAAAGGGCCCTGCAGCCATGCCAGGTCCTGGTGCAGGGAGGTGCTGGATTGCAGACACAAACCACAGGTCTGACAATGGTTGTGGTTAAAGATCAGAACTCATTTACATTCAGGCACTGTTGTGACTGGATTATTGATGAAAATGCATAAACTGAACCGTGCTGCTGAACGCTGTTAAGTTCCTCACCTTGACGAGGATGGCTGTAACTGTTATTTCTTATTCTGTGCCAGCTATGAGGTGAATATACTTGTCTTCTGTAAAACTTGTCTGTTAGAGTGGGGTCCATCAGTACCTGCCGTGCCTCCCTCACGTGAGCAGCGTTCAGATGCCAAGCTGTGCTGCTTCACATTGTTTATTTACCTGGCCTGATCCACTGATTCTATCTTGTCTAATTAGTCTGAATCTCAGTGTCAGTAATGAAGGCCTCCAGCATCCATAGGCTATGATCATGCAACGTGGTGTCATCTGTGGTGTCATCTGTAGATTTCAGAAAGTGATGAGAAATAAGACCTTAAAAAAACCCCCAGTGTTTAATTCCCCACTCTTCCTCCAGCTGCAGCAGGACCTGTCTGCAGGGAACCTCATCCAGGGAGCCATCAGGGCATTTTTATTTGCAGGATTGACCACAAAACATGTCCTGTAATAGTGATTAAAAATGTCCAGCATTTGGACCTTGTTGAGTAATTGGAGGCTGTTTCTTAACCATTGCCAAGAGGGATAGTGATTTTTTTAAAGTATTGCACTCATTACTTGTACATGAGAATTTGGAAAGGGTGAATGGAATTGTAAATCTGTCAGTGTGTTTGTAATTGTCAGAGAATCCACACCTGTTCCACTGCTGTCATTTAAGCAGTAGTTTGACGAAGCACTCAGGGTTTTAAAAACCAAAGCAGCCTGTAAGTGGATTGCAGCACAGGGTTTGGGCAGGCTGCTGTGTGGTAGCTGATGTGTTTGGGGGCTGTTGCTTGTTCTGGTTGCCACCTGCGGTGAGAGCTGGCATGGGAGGGGAGGCAGCGCGTGGGCCCTAACAGCATAGTGATAATTGCAGCGTGGTTGCATGGGCTCTGTTTGGTGCGTGACACTGCAGAAGTCGCCTGCCTTTGAAACACAGCAAAGCCCCAGACAAAGCAAAGGCAGCCCCTGGGCCCGGCAGAGGAGCTCCAGCCCGGGGGCAGCGGTGTGAGCAGCAGTGGCAGTGTGAGTGCTACGGACAGAGGCAGTGTGAGTGCCACGGACAGAGGCTCCGTGGCTGCTGTGCCAGCAGCGGGCAGCGCCCGGCCCTCCTGCACAGACTGAGGTGTGCACCCGGGCACGGCTCTGCCTCACGGCTCACACAGGTGTGGAGTCAGTTTGCCTTCAACAGCTGGCA